CATAGAGGAGAGCATGATTTATTTCCTATTTTGAAAAAAAATGCTGAAAATTAGGTATTTTTAAGCCAAAGAAATGAAGATTATGCAAAGTAAATTCAAACCAAGGAAAAAATAGGTAAAGCAAAACAAAGGATCTTTCTTTTTCTCTTTGATTTAAATTAAAAAAGAACAGAATTAAGTCCATAACATTAACAGTGCAGTGAGTGTAGAATTTAGACCAAAGGCTAAACTGGTGCATAAAGCCTTCATAAAGCCCCATCATCACCCAAGTCCTACATTAAAGATGGAAGTAGTTGTACTCCCATTTTTAGATTTCTGCCTAGGGCATTTTTCTCACAAACACTGTACAGTAGTTTCCTTTAAAAGCTGTCTTTGATTACTAAACAGTTTTCCTTAAAAATTGCACCTTTACCTTTAAAGTGCAGGGGCAAGACTTTTAAAATAGTGATAAGCGTTCCCCTGTACTTCATACAATGCTGCAGAGAAGCACAGAAAGGTTTTGACTTTTGAAAGGAGGTATGTAACCAAAACTGTAACTTGCACTTGCAAATCCCACAACATTTTTATGGGTAAATTACGCACAACAACTTCTTTAAGAAGCAAGTCTGGAAGTGGTAGAGTTAAACACAGGTGTAGCAGCTATTGTCAGCTAAATTATAGGAGGAATAAGCCACCTTAAAGGGAGACACGCAGCGGGGAGAACCACTCACTGCATAAAACTGTCAGAGAAATTTTGTGGAGAACGGGCAAGTTTGGAAATACTGATGCTAGTTGAACAAGAAATGGATGACAAGTTGTATGAATACCATACGAGATACGTGTAAAATTTGTTTCTACATATGTGGTATTTGCAGGTATATTTTGAATAAGGGGTTTGTAATTTGTTAGTTTTCACATAACTAGAACTTTGTTCTTACGGTTTATAATGCCAGCTGAAATTCTCTGCAGTATTATATCAGTTTTATTTACCACTGCCTGTTACTTAAAACTCTTTTTAGAGAGTTCATCTTGCTGTTTTTTATGCATTCTTAAACTTTTCCGTTTTGTTTATGAAAAGCTAAAACTTATGTGTGGGTGTCAATCAATGGAAGTGTTTCTGTGCTACGCTGCAGACTATAACCTCATCTCATCACCTTCCAAAAAACAAATACTTAGTGTTGAGCTCGCAGACATCCAGGGCAGGGAGGAGAACAGATCCTGATGGGATTATCTGCAGGAGATGCACATGGATTTCTTGGCCTTGGTACATCCTCTCCCACACCCTGGCTCCTCGCTGCGCCTCACTTTGTACATGGGCCAAGGAGGAGGAGGCTGATGGATAGGACCCCTCCAGCCCCCAAGAAATTTTGCAGACTAGGCCACTTGCCTTGCACTGGAATTAGAATTTGTGCCATTTTTAATTTGATTATATAAAAATAGTAATTTTTAATCATGCATGTTTAGAAGAGAAGAAGAGATGCATTTTTTTAATTATTAGAAGCACTTGAAAGCCTGAAGACGAGATGAAGTTTAAAAATGCCCACTTCTGAAAGTATGTTTTTTGAAGAAAACAAGCCTTTCTCAACCTGTCCTTTAAGTGATTTGTTTGGTCTTCATGTACACTAGAATTTTAGACAGTACCTAATCTGTCTGCTTATCAGGAAAGTTGTCATTCATTCAGCATTTGACATAGAGAGCTACCCTAGAGGTTAACTACAGGTTCTGGTGCAATCTTAGGTGGGGGAGGCAAAATTTCATATTGTTTCACTTTTTTATTTTTTAACAGTCCTTTGAGCTCTGTGTTTGTAAAGCTCTTGTTTTAAATTTGTGGCTAGACGTCTGCCTAGCCATATGGGAGTCTTTACTTCAATACTCCTGTGGTCTAGGTCTCAATGATACGTTGCGGCAATGAGTTCCAAAGGTTTTCATTGCTTGCTATTTGAAAAAAATACTTTTATTAGTAATAGATTTAACAAATTTCCATGTCAGTAGAGACCCCACACACCTTTTTTTCCCTTGGAGTTGAGATAGGGAGGATACTTCCTGATCTAGTTTTTTTTTTCCCCTGCCATTTATTTCTTGTATACTTTGATCATGCTCATTCTTATTCATTTTTGTCAGATAAACATTCCCAATCCTTTCAAGCGCTTTATCGTTCTCACTGCACATCTTCTGATGCATCTTTCTTAGATGGGCTAACTGGAAATGAACAAAGTACTCCAGATGAGACCGACCTATTTATATATAGGGTAAAATCCTGGCCCTGTTGAAGTTGCTGGGAGTTCACTAGCATCCAGAGCGTGAGGTTTCTCCTGGTGCTGTCACATTTTTCTATATTATTCTTCATCCCATTTTTCATAAATTCAACTTGAAAATTTGGCAGCTGAGAATTTAATCTAGAATACTACTGATTCAGCATTCTTCCTCAGATTGCTGGTAGTCCTGAGATTAGCAGTGTAGCTCTGTGGAGAGGATTAGTTCCTTCCTGAAAACAGTTTGAAAAGGATCAATTTTTGTCCTGATTCACATTTGTTATAGAGCCACACTTGCCGTTAGTTTTGAACAGCTGAAACTGAGGGCCTCAGCCCAGACTTTGAAACACTACTATTTGTATTCACAGTGACCTTTAGCTGGAAAATCAGCTAAAATACATTATATAGCATACGAAAACAAAAAAAATCTTGCCTCAGTAAATGACTTTGTCCATAATATCCTCTGAAAATAGGGGAACACAAGTCTATATTTCTTCACTATTTGCAAAATCTGTGAACTTCTGTTTCTTCCCCAGAAACATCTAAAAAATGTTCAGATTGTTGCCAGCTAATGAGTGTAGTAAATGAAATGTTAATAAATCATTGGCAATTTAGCATGACAATAACATGGATTGACCACATTGATTAAATTGATTATATTTCATATATTTGCAATATGTAGACACAAGCCCAATTTATTTTCTGAAGAGTTCAAGGTAGGTATCATTGGTTTAAAAAAAAAAAAACAAAACAAAACAATGGAGTAATGTTTGTGGTTGCTATCTGCAATAATCTAATGCTGACAGAGAGCAGTATTTTATTTAGTAATTAACAGTGTAAAGGGGAGAGAAGCTGTCATGTTGGTTCTTAAGCTGGGGAATGTGATGAAAGATGATATCTGCGATCTCATCCTTTCCACTTGTTTAGGATTGTCAGGATGAGAAATGTCAGCATTATGAAAGCTCAGCTCTGCTCTTGATATGATAAAACCCTTCAAAAGCCAGTCTTTCTCTCCCTCCCCCCCTCCTTTCTCCCTCTCCCTGCACTTGCTTTTTTATTTATCCTGTTTTGTTAGATGGCAGAAATATAATTCTTTTCTTTCTTCCTATTATAAGCCACCATTTTTGTTTTATTATATGTTTCACAACCCCTAATGCCCCACTGAAAATTACCTTGTTAAATGACAGTGTTTCAAAGCCATGAATCCTTTCCACCATTCCCTCAGAGGTTTGAAACAGTCAACAGACTGTAAAGAATAAATAATAAAAAAGTATTGATTATTTTGATGACTGTGAGATTCAATTAAGTATTAATTTTGCCCTCCAGTGGACCTATCAAGGTATTCAAAAGGGAGGATTCGGCTCAGCTAAATGCGTGCTGAGTGCTTCAGCCTTAAATAGGGAGAAAATGTGTTTACCTACAGTATTTGAAGAGGAGTGCATTGATGCACAGAGTCCGATATTTAAGTGCTGTGCAAATTAAGCCCTGGTGACAGTGACATTGTTTTCAGCGATATGAGTATTGACTAAAGAAGTGCATTTGATGACAGCTTAAACTATTTGTATTGATTAACATTTTCATAGATTATCATGTGTCATATCAAATTCACTTTTCAGACATGAATACATTAAAAACCCATAGGCAGACATCGACCAATGTGGTGACGGGACAGAGGGAACATGCTAACCAACCTACTTGCTCGCTGGTCACCTGTTCTCTGCATAAGAACCATTTAGGCATGAACTTTGCAATAAATAGCTGCCAGATAGCACAACAAGGTCACTTGTTCCTTTCTTTTCTTTAGTTTCTTTTGACTCTGGTTTCCATGCCGTCATGATATTATACCTCTTAGTTTGCAAACGGAATAATAGAGTGTGCTTGGAAATAATGCCTGACCCCCAAATGTCCTCAATGAGCAGAAGATAAAACAGATCTAAATCATCAAGAAAAAAATTAAATAGAGATATACATGCATATATATATATATATATGTTTTGTGGGAATATAATGTCCCAAATACAAGAATAATTGCAAACTGTTTGTGTAAGTATCTTCCCTGATTTCTTTCTTTTAAAAATGGTTTCTGTATATTTTATTTTAAAACCAGCAATATGTTTGTGTGTGTGTGTGTGTGTGTTTATGGACTTTTGGAGCATAGTATCCCAAAGACAAGAATAGTTAGAAAGCTGTAGCTCTATTGAATGTCTACAATGAGATGGCTATTTGTTGCTGTGTATTTTCATTGAATCACTTGAATGATTTAAAAAAAATGTGTATTTGATTTTGCTAATGTTGTACAGCTGAGGATGCCTCTCTAAATTACTGTGGAGTGTTTGCAGAGCGCTCCTCTTCTGTGGTGTTGGAGCATACAGGAATTTCTTTTCTTACTACGTTAAGGACAGAGTGAAGTGTAAAAACATACACGTTAAAAAAAAAAAAAAAAGCACATCCTACAATTAAAGCTGTGTTGGTTTGTGTTGCTTTCATAGAAGTTTTTCTCCAAAGCATCCTGAATCTCTCACATGCTAGTTGAGCTTTAATAGGGTGGGGAGTAATGGAAAACTCATTGGATCTGTAATAGCTCTTCACTTGACTGCAGCCAGCAATAACAGCAGGAGCAGCCAGAGATAAGAGAGAGAGAGAGAGAGAGAGTGTGTGTGTGTGTATGTGTGTGTGTGAGAGAGGGAGTGGAAGAGGAGAGTATACGCACACCAAAGCTGCCACTTTTTTTTTTTTTTTCCTCCCTTACTCTTTTTTCCCCCATCCTAGGATCCAATGATAGCTGGACAAGTCAGTAAGCCCTTGCTGTCACTGCGGAGTGAAATGAATGCAGAGTTGAGAGGTGAGGACAAGGCAGCTACTTCAGACAACGAGCTGAATGAGCCCCTGCTTGCGCCTGTGGAATCAAATGACAGCGAGGACACTCCCAGCAAGCTCTTCGGTAAGTCTGTCTAGGTATTTCATTTTGCTGCTACCATGTTGTCCGGAAGAGCAATCTCCCCCCGTTGTGGGTTTTTTTTTTCTTCTCCTTCTTTCTCCTGTTCACTCAATTTCCTTGTTAAGTACCAAGGAGTAGCATGGAGCGTGCAAGCACCCAGCCATAGGCTCGCATTCCAGCTGGCTAGGAGAATGGCGGTGTCACATCCTGAAAACTTTTGTCAACAATGAACTTATTTTATGCAAGTTGCAGACATCTTTTGTGGTTTTGTTTGTTTGTTTGTTTGCTCCGTGTCTCTCAGATAAAAAAGGAAGATGAGGAATCCTCTTTCCTGAAACAGTTCATTAACATTTGTTGCCTTAAGTGCTAATCCTGCTGTCTTACTTGCTCAGCCTTTTCTAAAGGTGGACTAAACTGAAGAGTTATCATTTTACATGGTAAAGATAAAGCTTGGTGAAGACAGCTGAAACATTCCCATAGGAAGCACTCTGTACTGAGTAAACAAAGACTACCAAGGATATTGCATATAGATGTAATGTTTTTAGAATTTAAGTTAGAAATAAAATATTTCCTCTAAAGCATGTGCAAGGAGGAATTACCTTTTTACTTTTCATTTTTTAAACAGTCTGGCTTGCGCCTGATAAAAATGTAACCTTTCATAATCAAAACAAGAGCAGCAAGAGTAACACTCCAACACAGACATCTGTCATTCAAACGGATGACACCCTGTAAGCCAACTCAAGCAACTCTGATCCCTAATCAGAAAAGGGAGCAGAGTTGTTGAGGCGCGTGCTTGAGTGATAGATGTTGATAGATGTCTGAGCTGGAGCAGCGCTATATGGTACATAGTGACATTTTGGGTTTAGAGCGAATGCTCTCCTGAAGGAGTTCCTTTTAATTATTTCCGTTTGAGACAAACCTTAATAGAAACAGAGCATTTCCTTATTTTCCATGATCCTATAGGTGGAAATATAAAGGGGGGAAGAGACCTTATGTAAAGGCAAAGCAGCTTGGTGGGGGGGGTGGGGAGAGAAAGCCCATTTTCTAAGATTCAAGTTTTGATTTCATAATCTGTTAGGAAATCTATAGCAGTGTTCAGATTTCTGTATTCCACCTACGAGAGCTGCAAGATTTTTTAACAAAAGAATACATGCACTTTTCTTCAAAAATTGTTCCTTTTCCTCACTACAAGATACAGATATTGTACAGACTGTTTTAGTAACTAATGTCCATATAGATATAGGAAAAAAAAAAAATCCTAAGATTTAATTTCTTGGTTACAATAACGGCCATTACTGAATATCACATCTGTTTTTAAGCACCTCCTTAGTAATCTTTGTTTCCATGGAAAGCATAATTTCCACTAGCAGTTTGAATGTTCAAACACTATATAATAATTGTTGTAGTCCATTTCATCTAGAAAAAGAATTGCAATGCCTAAAATTCAGAGGCACTCTTGTGTATAGTAGTATAAATATCTTTAATAGTCTGTATTTTATTTGATCAAATGTTTAGGGTGCACCTATTAAATATAGTAAGGTATGTACAAAACAAAAACTGACTTTTAATTTAAGGGTACTGAAATGTCTGGTTCTGTTTGTTTTTTAGATTAGGCAAGTCCTGTAATAAAAGGCAGGATAGTTTTTGAACCGTTGTGATTTGGTTGTTCTACAGTGATATTGAAATATATATGGATACTTTAATTGGAGTTGCTGCATGGGATAAAAATGATGTGCAATAATATATTTTCTCCTTCTGAACTGTACATATAATTTATCTAAAAGGAATAATGAAAAAGCTGCAAATGAAGATATTGTGCTGTGTGTATTTGAGTCTAAGATGTTTGCTAGCCTGGTTTTTTTATTTGCTGCTAAAAAGATGATGCCAAAGGAAATGAAAGTAAGCAAAATAGTTTAATTGCCTCAGTATGAACTTATATACTGTTTATCTAGGTTTTGTTACAATTCTGGTAGATGCTACAGATCTTTTAGTGGCAGCCCTTGCAAGTTGATTTTAGTAACTTTGAGAACATAAAAGAAAGGACAATGAGGCTATTTTGGTACATAAGGGAAACAAACTGGTCAAATTTATTTAAAATAAAAGTACTTAGACATTATGCCATGGATACATGCCTTAGGTTATATTTGCAGCAAGCCTTTAAAATACAATAATTAGGTGTAGTATTACTGAAAGCTGTGGTACATAACTATGAAGTATTATTCTGTAGCTGTTTCTCTTTCTTTGGAATTATTAATAGCATCTTAGGAATGCATACTTTGGGCCTTAACTTTGCAGTCTCTTAAATTGTGTTATTTCTGGACTTTTTTTGGCATATGATGGCACAGAGGTTGACGTTTTTCTCTCTAACTTTCTTTCATGTGATGAGAGACAAGAATTTTCTGTTTGTAACCTATCATTTAATATATGTTGGGTAAAAGTTTGCCAGAAATCTGTTAGGCAGGACAGGGAAGAGCATTTTGGAAGGTCAAGGGGAGGAGAGTGTCCCATGGAGGAGAAAAGTTTTTCTGCACTGTTGTCTTCACATTTTTTTGAGAAATTTGTGAAAATCATGTACTGGTTTAATTGGAATGAATAACTAGCCCTTAAGTTTCTTATATTTTGTTACCCCAGCAATATGTCATGAGTTGTATTTTCATATAGATGAGTTGAATTGAAAGGTTAGGTGCGGAGGGCTTTCTCCTCCCTCACTGGAGGTGGTCTGCTTGGCCTTCTTTTGCTGGATAGCCTTAGTGTCACGATGACCTGCGTTGCCTACCTGTACCTATGCCTAAAATTCTCCCCTCTTAACCCCCCTTTTCTCAACAGCTTCCTTATTTCAGTATATCACTGCATACTGTAGTAACTGTGAGTATTTAATTCCTGTTTTGGTAGCAGATAGAGCAATTTGTCATAAAAATAGTGTCATTTCAACAACAGACTCTGCTGGAGGTGAGGAAATTGCAGGATTACAATTAATTACACTTATATTTTTTTTACTTAGGAAGGTATAGAGTAAACTTTTTGGTTTGTTTTTCTTATGGATGCTTTGCCATCAACGGCAGAGAAGGTGAACACTGCAGCTCCTCAGATCTCAGCAGCACCAACCCCGCTTTGGGACAAGTTTCCTGCAGTTTGAAGCAACTCCCTCCTGCAACTGGTGCCCGGTGTCTGGGAACGTGGCACTTTGTCACTGTGGTGAAGTGTTATCTGAGAGTGAGGACAAGAGCAGCTGTGATTCGAGTGGGTGTGTGTGTGTTTGTTGCTTGCCTTGTGGGTTTGTTGTTTGGTTTGGTTTTTAACAAAACAAAAGGCTAATCTGTCATCTGCGGGGTTTCGAATGTGTAATCCTCACCTCATGCGTTTATGTCAGTGGACTCTTCGGCAGCTGCTGAAAATACCTGTGTGCAAAAACTTTTGATGCTGAGATCACGTGAAACATGAGGGGAGTGAAAAACGCGGTGAGAAATGCTTTCTGAAGTGGAAAATTTGGGGAAAGGGCTCCCTATTCTCAAGCGTGTCACCTCAGAGGTAACGTTTTGATGTGAGGAGTTAGAACAGCCACAGTGTTTCTGGTACAGAAATACCTACCGATTTTGTTCAGCAGCTTGAGGCAAGGTAGTTTTCTATGAGATTTTGTGGTGTATTATTTATTCTTTAAAATATTTGTGAAGCAGCATCTCCTATTTTAATCATATTATGCTCAGAACTGATTAAAAGAATAGAAACTGTGGCTAGCTGTTGACATTCTTGGCAGTGTTATTTTCAGATCAACTTGTCTTGCTTTACACTATGCTTCAAAATAGTAAAACAGGGCCAAATTCTGCAGCTCTTATTAGAGAGTGCTTTTGTTAAAGATAAAAAAAAAAAAAAAAAAGGAGCTTTGCTTGAACAAACACCTTAGGATTGGATCCTAAATTAATTAATCCTAGGTAGGCTTTATACACCGCATCTTTAAACAAACTTAGTTATCAAGTACTGCTCTGAAAAAAATCTTAAGAAAAACACCTCTCAAGTACAGTTCTGTACGATTATAACTATTAAGACCTAAAAGTTGATATAGACACCAGGCATATATTGTGTATAAAATTCTCTGTACAATAAAAATCCCAGGAAGAAAGTGCCTCATCCAAGCCCCACGAACCCCCGTGGACTGAGGTTGATTTCACTGAGTTGGATCAAATCCTTAATGGATCCTTAATCCATGTTAATTTGTGGCATAATTTGATGATAGCTAAATGAAACTAGGGGTGCACTTGCATGTGAAGAAAATTTTATTGAAGTATAAAAAGTTACTCTTTGAGAATGAATATGCTGTTTTACACATCAAACTTTATGAAATAAGTAAAACGGTAAGCGTATAGGGAGTACATGATCAAGCCTGTAATTCTGGAGCAGAAGTGTTTCTTGAATAAAAATTGCAGGACAGCCAAAAATTGGCTACTACCTTTCTTATCGCTGGCAAGATTTTGTTCTAGTGAAATTAAATCTTAAAATTTTGTTTCCTTTGCTGGAACCAAAGGCTGTGATTTCATTTGATTACCTACCAGTTTTCAGCTTTTTCATAATGACTTATATATTTGAAATATTGGGGGGGAGGGAATGTGTGTGTTAAATGAATCTGTATACAATTCTGTAAACAGAGCTTTGTTTTCAAAGCCCTGAATAGGATCTGGGATTTTGTTTTCCCTGTCAATCTTGTTACCCACGTTTCAGAACAGCGTGCATCTGTATGTAGAAGCATTCGTGGCCATGCCAGAGCAGAACTGTGATACCGGGGAGAAGTTGTTTCTAGCTGATGGCGTTTTGCCGGTAGATCCCTTGCATTGGTCTTTCAGGAAAACGTGCGTTATCTGATTTTATTTGCTAAATCTGCGTTGTTTTGATTAGAATGTATGGCACTGGAGTCATTTCGGTTAGGAAGGATAAAGGACTAAATTGTCTTTTACCTCTTGAGACAGTGGTCGCTGCAGGTCAGACCAGAGGTCGTTGGCAGGTTGTTGCGA